ATATTTATTATGAATTCATTTATTTTATGGGTTTAGCTTAGGTTAGTCACTAAAGTGGGCTCCCCTGGTGGTTCAGACAGTAAAGAATCTGCCTGCAATGCAGGAGACCTGGGTTCGATCCCTGGGTAGGGAAGATCCCCTGGAGAAGGGAAGGGCGACCCACTCCATTATTCTTGCCTGGAGGATCCCATGGACAGAGGAGCCTGGTGGGCTACAGTTCATGGGGTCGCAAAGAGTCAGACACGACTGAAGCGACTTAGCGTGCACTCACACGGTAACCAAAGGTAGAAAAACTGGCCGATGGGTAGACAGAAGTGACCTTTTCACGTTCCTCTTGCAGTGGTAGGCGATGCTCTCAGCTCTACACTCTCAGAACTCATGCAGTCTGTAATCTTCAGTTGCTACCTTTTGTGATTTGCAGGTCTTCCATTCCGTACACATTCCTGTCCTCCACACTCAGGTGACATGGGATAAAAGGGTTCCTTCGGTTTTGACAAAAGCAGATCAGTTTCTCAAAGCTGACCAAAGTGACTTTCTTTGCTGTTTTTCACACAAACTAATTTTATTCACTCTAATTATAAGGAAAACTAAAGGCAAAGTTTCATGCCATGAAAAAGATGGGGCCGGGCTTTTTTCTTCTTTTTTTATTGGAGTGTAACTGGTTTAAAATGCTGTGTCAGTTTCTGCTATACGACACCGGGGCAGCTACCTGCAGACATAGGCGCCTCCCTCCTGAATCTCTTTGCCATCCCCCCCACCCCCAGGTCATCACCCAGCAGCTCCTGTGAGCTGTCTAGGATCCACATGGTGGGGTGTGTGTGCCAGTCCTAATCCCCAGCTTCATCCCACCCTCCCCTTCCCACTGTGTCCACAGGTTCATCCTCCATGTCTCCATATCTGCCCCCGCCCTGCAAGCAGACACGGCCCTACGTCTTTAACGGCCACAGCAGGGGGCTTCCCTGGTGGCTCAGAGGGTAAAGCGTCTGCCTACAATGCGGGAGACTCGGGTTCAGGCCCTGGGTCGGGAAGGTCTCCTGAAGAAGGAAATGGCAACCCACTCCAGCATTCTTGCCCGCAAAATCCCATGGATGGAGGAACCTGGTGGGCCGCAGTCCATGGGCTCGCAAAGAGCTGGACATGATTGAGGGACTTCACGTTCTAGAGGTGATATAATCTCGTCTCAGGTATGTTGTATCTGTTTCATTTTTTATTTATTCTAATTGTTTTTAATTTTTCTGATTTTATTTTTATTGTCATTGTTCTCCTCTTTTTTGTTTTCTGTCTTCTTTTCCTTCTTTTTCTTCCAATTTGGTGAGGAAGGTTGAGGCAGCGGGTTGATGATCCTTTGGGGTACATTTTTTCCTTTTTCTTTTTTAATTTTTATGGGCGTATAGCTGATTTACACTATTGTCTTAGTTTCAGGCGTACAGCAAAGTGAAGCAGTTACATAGATACATACACCCACTCATTTTAGATTCTTTTCCCACATGCATCATTCTGGGATCCTTCCTGACACAGCACCCACATGGAGACCAGGGCCCCAGAGGCGCAAATCCACCAGAACACAAGCTACGTCTGGTTCAGGATGGTGTCCACTATGCCATGCAGAGACAGTGTTTCACTGCTAGTAAACACTCAGTAACTATTCGTCATGTGGATGAATTAATCCCAAGAGATCAAAGGATAAGCGTCCACAAGCACGTCCAGACTGCTGAGAGCCCTTCACTGTAGTCTCTGCCCCCAAGCACGCGGCCTTGAGCCTGCGGAAGCCGAGCCCCAGCCCTCATCACCCTCCCGGGCACGATAGAACAGCGAGACCATCACCATCCCCAACGCCACGTCAGTCCTGATCCTCCGGGGCTACATCTGGATCTTGTCATCATCTGTAATTCTTTCACTTTCAAAATCCTCACTCATAAGCTCCTCGTCTTCCAACTTGCTTTTTCCAGCCGCTCCTATGATGACAGCCTTTCAACTTCATCGGGACCTTGAGTACTCTGGACTTGCTGCTTTCTTCCCATATCCATCCATTCCTCTCCTCAGGGCTTTCTATATCCAACTTAAACTCCTACTCACTGATTTCTCCTTGTCCTCTCCCAAGCAAACAAGGAAGATAAGGAGAAAAACCCACACAACAGGGTAAACATAATCCAGTATAAATATAAACCCATTCCATTTGAACGGACCCACAGCACTGTCCGGCCATTCTGCTACAGCCACACTATTCAAAGTGTTGTCTGCACACCAGTAACATCAGCATCACTGGGAGCTCATAGAAATGAAGACACTTGGGTCCCATCTCAGAACTACTGAATCAGAATTAAAAACTTAAGTAAGGTAATCAGCTAATTTATATGCACATGAAAGTTTAAACACTCTGCACTGTCGGGATTCCTGGCGGTCCACTGATGGGAACTCTGCACTCTCACTGCCAAGAGCCCAGGTCCAATTCCTGGTCAGGGAACTAAGACCCCACAAACTGAGTGATGCGGCCAAAAATTAAAAAAAAAAAAAAATAGTGTCCAGCCATCACCACTTGCTAACCTTCATAGCTTTCTCTGAATGTACTCAAATCTAGAATTCAATGTATTTGCAAAAGGTTGGTTCCTAGAAGTAAACTAAAGGTGCAATATTCCTGATAGTACAAAGATTTATCACTTCTTCTTATAGGTATTAACCTTCCACCTATAATGCTTAGTTCAGCATTAGCTATTTTTTCTTGACCATATTTTCGTACTCTTTACACATAGCTGTAGTTACCTAAAACCTCCAGCATGATTACCAAATTGTTATAAATTATTATTAAGCTACTAACTTTCTGTGTAAGTTAATAGTCTGTAATACTATTAGGCACATTGGGACTGACTGCCTCCACACCCCTCTCCCCAAAGAGTTGGAAGCGATTCATTTTGTAACCTTATTTTGGCATAATTCTCTTGATATCATGAGGGTCTTTGCCAAAAAAAAAAAAATTATGTAAGCAAAGTACTTTAAGTTAAAGCATTTGCTCAATCCATGAATATAGTATTCCTTGAAAAAAAAAAAAAGGGAGAGACCATGGGATGGAGGAAAGAAAAAAAAAATGTAACATGCTTGAGAAAAAATAATCTTAGTGAACTCATGATAACCTCTGAAAATCCCTACTTTGTTTTTTTAAGTGCTCATTAATCAGATTTTTTTTAAAAAAGAGGACAAACCAAAAGTTTGCATTTTTCATGTAGCATCAAGTTCCTAGAGCCATACACTTTATCAAATTTTTGCATTCTTTGGGTATTCAAACAAATGCAGTCTTTCTGACAAAAGAAAGACAAAAACCATCCACAGGAATGTAGATGTCCTAGATCACCACTTAAAAGAGACCACCAGTTCAGGGCTTTTGGTTGAACCAAAGAAATGCTTAAATTTACATCAGTTAGAAATAAATCAGAATGGAGAGCATTTTGCACATTACATGCAGTCCATTAATTTGTACTCTGATTGACACTTTCAGAAAGAGAAAGCAGTCATGGTATCCTATCTTTCATTAGATGACTTCCTTTGTCATCTCTTGTCTCGTGACAGTCTGAACTAATCTTCAACACACACAATGATGTTAGACAGTGTTTGGATCTTTATCTCTCATGTCAAATTTCAAAGATTTTATATAACACGTTACAATTTAAGAATATTAAAGGGGACCCAGAACAGAACATTTAGGTTTGACACCATATGGACATGTCTTACATTTGATTCTTAAACAGCCTAGTTTTACTACCACTAGGAGGAAAGTATTGACATGTCATTACATAGATGAGCAAATTTAACATTGAGGCTTCTCAAGACAAAATCAAACTGAGATTTACATAGTCGTGAGAATTGGGTGATAGTTGAGAAGGTTTCTAAAACTTTACTATTCTGTAGAGAAGGCACTATGTGAATTCAGAATAGCAGGGTGAAGATTATAAATAAAATATAACAGCATAATGATGGTTAAGAATTTATGCTATACAGAGAAAGACAAATATGATATAGCTTATATGTGGAATCTTAAAAAATTATACAAATGAACTTATTTACAAAACAGAAATAGACTCATGGATACAGAAAACAAATGTATGCTTAATGGGAAGGGGTGGAGGGATAAATTGGGAGATTGGGATTGAGACATATACACTACTGTATGTAAAATAGATCACTAATAAGGACCCACTGTAAAGCGCAAAGAATTCTACTCAGTACTCTGTGATGACCTATATGGGAAAAGAATCCTATAGAGAGTGGATATATACATATATATATAACTGACTCACTTTGCTGTATACCAGAAACTAACACAACATTGTAAGTCAACTATACTCAAGTAAAATTTTTTAAAAATGGAACTTATGCTATAAAATGAAACCATCTTAATTTATCACAGTTCCATCACTTACTCTGTGACATGGGTTACTTAAAATCACAGTACCTCTATATCCTCATCTACAAAATGAGATAATAATGCTAGCCACATCATAATATTGCTTTGTGGATTAAAATGAATGGATGCACAGCAGGCCCTTAAACAGGGCTTTGCATAAGCCTTCAAAAAATGTAAGCTATATTTATGTTCCTTGTAACCCTGTACCTTATGCTTAGATCAAAAAAGACTAGAAGAAAAGATACCGAAACCTGTCTATAATATTCTGCAACATCTACCACGAATGTCTACAATGGTTTAAACAATTAGCCCATGCTACTCTAATAATTCGGGTGAGGTGGATGGGTGGTTACTTAGGGAAAATATTCCAATTATCCTTCTGTACTCCAGAGGTTTGGTCTTCTTGCTTTCATATATCTTGAGATGATATTTAATAAGCAGCTTTGCCAGTGGTAATCAGGCACAAAGAAAAATAATCCAGCTTATGCAACTCAAACTCACATGAGAATGATTTGTGTCAAAGAACCAACAGAATAATTTATGAGGCTTTGACTGCCAAGCAGACTGATATTCATGTTGGCTCTTCAACACATTCTCTTTGTAGGAGAGAAGTCTGCTCAGGAAACCAAATGAAGATCAAGCAGACGGGTGAGTAAGAGCTGGGAGAGGCTGAAGAAACAGCCCTACGCACGAAACCCGCAGTTCTACCATTTAAAATGTGTCTCTTTCCTGAAGGGCCATGGAGATACACTCCCCCAGTCCTTTTCAAGTTCTCTCTTCAATTCTTGACTAGTATTAATGACTCTTTCCTGGTTGTTTCAGAGAAAGAGCCTTTGATAAGCATTCATCAAACTCCAATCAAGAAGGCTGTGACTTGAACCCAACCTCATGTAACCCTTTAGTCTCCATGACTACAAAAGAACCAAGATCAGGTCTCAGAAGAGACCAGTTAATGCCTCTCACTATTTGACATACTGTGCCATCACATATACCAGTAAATTCATTTCATTTAATCACAAACAAAAGGAGGAATTCCTAAGGAAGGTATACAAATGCACTATGTGTAAATGATGATGAAAATTCAACCACAGTCATCAGCATGTCTGAGCCCATTATTATCTTCAGAAGCTCTATTAATCTTAGATTCTACAGGTGCTTCAAATTTTATCCAGAAGTTGTTGAATTCACCCCACAAACATCCTACATTTATTCCATTATGAACCGTGCATTAAGCAACACATCCATTTAAGAGACAAGAATCTGGAAGTCTCTATACTTGATAGGGGAGAGATCAAATGATACATTTGAAAAAAAATGCATTCACGGCCAAATTAATCAAAATAGGGTGGGAGGAGAAAGTGGTTAACACTGGCTCAATGAGGTTTCCGCATTCGACCATGTACAGAAATATTACAAATACGGTCCATGCTGAATCGTAAGAAAAGAAAAGACATCTGGGTAATTATTTTGAATCTTCTTCATTAAAAAAAAAATACAGATGGGAATAGGCACAGAAAAGCCTGGAGAATCAACAAAATATTATGTATGTTTGTAAATATTTCCCTAAATGTTATCAATCACTGAGCTGTGTCATCTCCTCATTTATTATTCAGTCAAATATGCTAGCCACATTTCAACCAAACATGCTTGCTTAATACACAAATAAATCTTAATACACTACACGCTCTTGCATTTGAGAAAATCCCCAGATGCCAAATGGAGCCAACTGTTAAATAATAAATCATAATATGTGTTAGCAAACTCAAATCAAGCTGCTGTTCCCTCCCCTCCCCCAGTCTCAAGATTTCTCCACGTCACTGTTTTGCATATGTTTGAGGAACACATTGTGTAATGGATGAAAAATGTGGACGAAGGTTTTGAAGTCCTTTATTTCTAAAAATAGTGCCAACACTTGAGAAATAAACATGATGTCTAGGAATGGGCTGATACTTTACAAACATGCGGAATTTTCAAGTTGCCTTAGATGATTCAAAAATCTCCACTTACATAACACCAACCACTCTTAGACTAGTTTAGGAAACAACACATCCAATTCTGGACAATTCATAACAAGGGCGAAAAGCTAGACCCCCTCAAACCAAATGTGATAAATATGAGGACTCTGTTTTCCATAGATCATAATATAATACAGTTGATGGAACTCAAAGAGAAACTCGAGGTTCTAGCACTTTGCCGTGCAATGGACCAGCTGCCGAGTCTGCACCCAGTGAGAGGGCAGCTCCCCACAGGGACCTTTATGTGGTTCCCCAAACCGAATGAATGCTCCCTCAGGCTCCCACATCAACAGTAAAAATGCTTTACTCCTGTCTACTTGGGAATATTAGATATTTCTTGACAGCTGAAACCCTGCCAAGTTCACCTCTAACAAGGCCCAGGACAGGTTATCCAGCAGGCTCACATAGTCAAAGCTAAGGTTTTTACAGTCGTCATGTACAGATGTGAGAGTAGGACCATAACAGAAGCTGAGCACCAAAGAACTGATGCTTTCTAATTTGGGTGCTGGAGAAGATTCTTGAGAGTCCCTTGGATTGCAAAGAGAACAAACCAGTCAATCCTAAAGGAAATCAACCCTGAACACTCATTGGAAGGACTGATGCTGAAGTTCAATACTTTGGCCACCTGATGTGAAGAGCCAACTCATTGGAAAAGACCCTGATGGTGGGAAAGATTGAAAGCAAAAAAAGAAGGCGACAGCAGAGGATGAGATGATTGGGTGGCATCACTGACTTAATGGACATGAATCTGATCAAACTGCGGGAGAGAGTAAAGCTGTCCTGGCATGCTGCGGTCCAGGGGCTACAAAGAGTCAGACACAACTTAGCGACACAACAACAACAGTAACAACAAAAGATGCTCTGAGATCACCTGGACCCTCTCTCCATCTCTCCATGTTCATGCCTTCCACCCTCCATGTTCCACTTTATTCCTGATTCATTTTGGTATCTCCGTACACCCTGTTACTGTTCTCTGGAAGATGCCCCTCCCCCCACCCCACCCCCACACACAATACTCTATTCCACCACTTTTCCTGTTTACAGTAATGTGCTCATATATCTATCTTCCTGTCTCCAATTTGTGAATTCACTGATGATAGAAACTACATCAAATCTTAAATCTATTAATCTTTACCAAGGGTTAGTGGAGATCTCTGGAAGATCTGTGAAAGAACAGGAGTCAGCTAAGTGAGACTCAACCATAAAGAAGGTAGTCATATACTCTAAAGTGGGCTTCCCAGATGGCTCGGTGGGTAAAGAACCCACCTGCCAATGGCAGGAGACACAAGACACTTGGATTCAATTCCTCTGTGGGAAGATCCCATGGAGGAGGAGATGGCAACCAACTCCAATATTCTTGCCTGGAGAATCTCATGAACAGAGGAGCCTGGTGGGCTACAGTCCATGGGGTCGAAAACCATCAGACATAAATGAGTGACTAAGCATGCACACATAGTAGTTTTGAATGTAAAGCATAGTGATTCAGTACTTTTGCAGATTATACTCCACTATAACAAGCTGGAATCAAGACTGCCAGGAGAAATATCAATAACCTCAGATATGCAGATGACACCACCCTTATGGCAGAAAGCCAAGAGAAACTTAAAAACCTCTTAATGAAAGGGAAAGAGGAGAGTAAAAAAGCTGGCTTAAAGCTCAACATTCAGAAAACTAAGATCATGGCATCTGGTCCCATCACTTCATGGCAAATAGATGGGGAAACAGTGGAAACAGTGGCAGACTTTATTTTTTGGGCTCCAAAATCACTGCAGATGGTGACTGCAGCCATGAAATTAAAAGACACTTACTACTTGGAAGAAAAGTTATGACCAATTTAGACAGCAAATTAAAAAGCAGAGACACTGATTTGCCAATGATGGTCCATCTAGTTAAGGCTATGGTTTTTCCAGTAATCATGTATGCATATGAGAGTTGAGCTATAAAGAAAGCTGAGTTTTCCAACCTCATTTGGAAACTCAATCATTTTCATCACCAAAGAAATGATGCTTTTGAACTGTGGTGTTGGAAAAAACTCTTGGAAATCCCTTGGACAGCAAGGAGATCCAACCAATCCATCCTAAAGGAAATCAGTCCTGAATATTCATTGGAAGGACTGATGCTGAAGCTGAAACTCCAATACTTTGGCCACCTATTGTGAAGAGCTGACTCATTTGAAAAGACCCTGATGCTGGGAAAGATTGAAGGTGGGTGGAGAAGGGCATGACAGAGGATGAGATGGTTGGATGGTATCAGTGAGTTGGTGATGGACAGGGAGATCTAGCGTGCTGTGGTTCATGGGGTCGTAAAGAGTCGGACATGACTGAGCGACTGAACTGAACTTCATTATAAGTTATGGTAATATTTATAATTCCTTGGGCTATAGAGTAGTTCCTTGCTGTTTATCTACTCTATCCACAGTACTGTGTATCTGTTAATCCCATACCCCTAATTTACCCTCACCCTTTCCCCTTTGGTTCATAGTTCATCTGGCACTCTGTCTATCAGATCAAGTTCCTTAAATCTATTTCTCACTTACACTGGATAATCATAAGGGATTTGATTTAGGTCATACCTGAATGGTCTACTGGTTTTCCCTACTTTCTTCAATTTAAGTCTGAAATTGGCAATAAGGAGTTCATGATCTGAGCCACAGTCAGCTTCCGGTATTATTTTTGCTGAACTGTACAGAACTTCTCCATCTTTGGCTACAAAGGATATAATCAATCTGATTTTAGTGTTGACCATCTGGTGATGTCCATGTGTAGAGTCTTCTCTTGTGTTGTTGGAAGAGGGTGTTTGCTATGACCAGTGCGTTCTCTTGGCAAAACTCTATTAGCCTTTGCCCTGCTTCATTCTGTACTCCAAGGCCAAATTTGCCTGTTATTCCAGGTGCTTCCTGACTTCCTACTTTTGCATTCCAGTCCCCTATAATGAGAAGGATATCTTTTTTGGGTGTTAGTTCTAAAAGGTCTTATAGGTCTTCATAGAACCCTTCAGCTTCAGCTTCTTCAGTGTTACTGGTTGGGGCATAGGCTTGGATTACCGTGATATTGAATGGTTTGCCTTGGAAACGAACAGAGATCATTCTGTCATTTCTGAGATTGCATCCAAGTGCTGCATTTCAGACTCTTTTGTTGACAATGGCTACTCCATTTCTTCTAAGGGATTCCTGCCCACAGTAGTAGATATAATGGTCATCTGAGTTAAATTCACCCATTC